TATATATATATAACTATTATATGTTAATTCTTATCTGGAATATTATGTAGTGATGATCCAAATGCCATCCCTATTATCTTGCTTACATTACTGAAGGATTGATATTAGCCATCCTTACATTCCATTCCGCCCCCAGTGGCACAGCGGTATGTCCGCGGATTTACAACACTAAAAACTGGGTTTCGATACCCGTGGTGAGAAGAGCACAGATAGCCCATTGTGTAGTTTTGTGCTTAACTTAAAACAAACATTTCCTTCCTTTTTTGAAACATTTTTCTTTATTTGTATAAAGCGTTTGAGAGGCCAAAAGATATTATAAAACGCTTTAAATAGATACAGAACATTTTTGTGATGATCAAAACCAGTTTAGTGGCAAGGGTGCACCGTCTGTCCGAGACTATCAGTTCGCTGAAGATGTAATGATATTTACCTGCAAAATAAATAAATCCATCAAAGGAATTTTTTTTTTTATTCCTGTAAACTCACAGTGGAGCATAGGGCCGCAACAACACCTCGCCAACGGAAGGTGTTGTTGCAGTTACTTGTAGCAGGTTGGTTTTTACGGGGTGGAGTTGCTAGCCCCGCGTCCTCATCCTGGACTTGGGACCAGGCAAAAGCGAAGGTTGGCATGTTTGGTGTGACGGGGATTCGAACCCGCGACCCTCAGATTACGAGTCGAGCGCCCTAACCACCTGGCCATGCCGGGCCTATCAAAGGGACTAGGCTTAAGTAATAGTGTTAGCTATTAGTTATGGTCCATAGTTTTAAATTGAAATTATGAAACATACCCAAAAGTATTTATACTCAGTTAATAAAAATACTAGAGAAGATTATCCCCAAATTTAACAGCAGTTGATCGAGAGCGGCTCAGTGGTAAGCGTTCCGGACTGTGGATCCGAGGTTCCGTGGCTCACGCTTCATTACCTCCAAAAAGAATTCTTTGGGACCTTGGGTGCGTTTTAAGAGTGACGGTCAAATCCCATTATTCGATTAGGGTACCACCACGAGTTGGAGATAAACATAAAAATAAACCAAAGATGCACATGGTATTATTTGAAAGAATTAGAACTCTCCACCTAATCATCCTTAAATATTAGAATATTTAAACCTGAATTCAACTAATAGTTTTCAATCAAAGCTTTCTAATGTAAACTTTGTATACAACGTAATTAAATATAGATATAAAAAAGAATATGTCGATTTTTCAGGAGTCTTTTATAACTATACGATTAAATTTCAATCTCTGTATCAGTGAAATGACATTATCAAGAACTAATTTGCCACTGACCATAAACAGTCGCATTTGTTTCTGATTTTATACAACTTTTTAGTTATCGAGTAAAGGTACCGAGAAAATATAAAGGATGTACGATGCAAATGGGTTTCGTTTTCTATAGAAAAAGATGTACGATGCAAATGTTCTCGTTTTCTATAGAAAAAGATTACGATGCAAATGTTTTTTCGCTTTCTATAGAAAAAGATTACGATGCAAATGTTTTTTCGCTTTCTATAGAAAAAGATTACGATGCAAATGTTTTTCGTTTTCTATAGTAAAGACGTATGATGCAAATGTTTTTCTTTTTCTATAGAAAAAAAGATGTACGATGCAAATGTTCTCGTTTTTTATAGAAAAGATCTACGATGCAAATTGGTTTCGTTTTCTACATTCATAATTAATTGCACTTTCCTATCTCCAGATAAATAATCGAATTCCAGGTGACAAATCTCATATTTATAAATAGTAGTCTGTTATTAGAATTTAATTGAATGCTGTCATCAGTTTGAGAAATATAAATATTAAGGTAGCCTACGAAACACGAGTACTGATAATAACCTGAGAAACGTGAGTATAGATTAGGTAAGGCCTTAGAAAAAGTAGAGATGATGATGATAGCCTGAGAAATATGAGTATAAATAACAGCCTGAGAAATATTAGTGCTGATGATATGTAGAAAAAATGGTATTCCTGGCAGCTTGAAAAACATGAGTGTTGATGATAGTCTGAGAAATATGAGAATTTTTATAATAGATTGAGAAAAAGTTAGATTGTTGATGCCTACCAAAATATCTATGCAAAATAGCTATAATGAAAATCAACTCTTGTTTGAGTTTTGACTACAAATATAAAATAACTGAAAGCCAGTTAAGGGTTTCTTTGTTCCATAAAATCAGTAAGAATATTTCACTTATAAAAGTAACACGCTTTCTAACCTTAAAAACTGAATATGATGAAAATATTACATTCATTCAGGTATTCACATACGAAGTCTTAAGAATACAGTATCAAAAAATCATATTAGATATAAAATCAAAGTCAGGAATAATACTTGTAGCAACATTGTAAATCAGATACTTATAGCTAACTTAATGTTTGGTCACTGATGTAATTACTTATAAGTAATATAATTATTTTTAACCTAATGTTGTATAATGGGAACTTTTTGAAATGGAGTGACAAAAGCTAACGTAACATAACGTTTTGGAACAACACGGGACCTATTGGTCCATCTCGGCTGTTCCATCTTCTAAATTAAACTAAAATAATTAATAAATAAATTTAAAAAATCTTAAAACCAACCGTTATCATTCATATAAAATAGTTTTTTTTCTCTAAAAGCCTTCAGCAAATTGTGTAATTGAATCAACATAGGGGTAAGCCTTCAAAAGCAGTCAATCAAGCTTGTTATCTCCTCTAAAAAACAACAACACAGTTTCTAACCTATTGGTCCATCTCGGCTGTTCCATCTTCAAAATTAAATTAAAAATAATTAATAAATAAATTTAAAAAATCTTAAAACCAACCGTTATCATTCATATAAAATAGTTTTTTTTCTCTAAAAGCCTTCAGCAAATTGTGTAATTGATTCAACATAGGGTTAAGCCTTCAAAAGCAGTCAATCAAGCTTGTTATCCCCTCTAAAAAAACAACAACACAGTTTCTGACTGGAAAAAATCGTTGAAGTTTGTGCTGTTTTTTTTTTAGTTACTGATGAATATATTACTGCTATCATCGTTGAAATCAATTACATCGCTAGTACTTATCAACCTTTTACGTAAAATGTCTTATAGTTTGTTGTGTATTAGACGATGGAACTCTTGTTGTTTGTTATTAAGCACAATACTACACAAAGGGCTATCTGTGCTCCACCAACCACGGGTATCGAAACCCGGTTTCTCGCAATATAAGTCCACAGACATACCGCTGTGCCACTGGGGGCAACTGGAACTGTTGCAGCCAATTTGATTTACGATATATATCTACACTGTATATGTGTGTGTGTTTCTTCTGGATACAGATAAAGAAAAACAATTCTATTTTTAACAAATTGAACTGATGTATAATTGACTTTTTTGTAAATGAACTCAAGTGTGGTAATAATTTCTCCAAGTTTATTTGCCTACGTAATCGGCTTAAAAGAGTTATGTTGACTGAAAGTTCCCAGATGGAACAGCGGTACGGCGCTAAAATCCAAGGTTCAATTCCCGAGGTAGACACAGCAGATAGCTCAATGTGGCTTTGCTCTAAAACAAACAAAGTTGACTATAAGATATGTGCTATGCTCAATTATAGCCCAATTACTGCAATATTGTTTGTAAAACTTATTATAATCTTAACTGTATTCAAGGTTCATATTACAAAATATCCAAATGTAAACCGTCTGTTTTGAATCCTAAGTTGCGTCATAATTGATCATATTTTTTTAAAGCTAACTGGTTTGGTCTATTTTAACTTAACGCAACAAATCAGCGTATTTCATATTTTTTCAAGTACCTGGCCTATCTGTTTTAACTTAACGCAACGAATCAGCGTATTTCCTATTTTTTCAAGTACCTGGCCATCTGTTTTAACTTAACGCAACAAATCAGAGTATTTCGGCTTTGTTTTTAAACTTGCAGTGAGAGACGGCTTTCACTTATTGAACCTAAATTTCTCTTCGCATAAAGGATAATAATAATATTATATTAATTTTTTAATTATTTCTTAAGATTTTTTGCTTGCACTTTTTAATATTTTATACGTATTTTAATGTAACATTTTGTGTGAGCTAACTGAAATCTTGAATAATACAAATTTTACAGAACCCTAAACAGAAGACACTACACAACAATTCGTCATATTTTAAATACCAACATTTTTCACTACATGGAAGTATAAGAATGACAAAAACAGTAATTTAGATATCAAATAACGTTCTTAAACCGTTTCTTTCACTGACAAGACCGTCGAAACTTTGTAACGCAGATTTCCAGAAAACTGCCAAGAACATTTGATGAAAAAAAAGCATTTCAAACATTTAAAAAATGCTCTAACAAACAAAATAGCTGTGTAGATTTCGGTATTGATTTTGTTTTTCAACTGACTGGATATGTAAAATATATTTCTAGAATTTCAATGCAATTTCTGAACTAACCCGGAGATGAAAGTTTCCTCGTTAATTTGGTCCCCGGTCTACACACAGTAAACAGCATTTACTTAAAGCAATATCTCCGAGTGGGACAACGATAAGTCTACGGGCGTACAATGCTAAAATTCGAGGCTCTGTTCCCCGTGGTGGACACAGCCGATAGTCCAATGTGGCTTTGCTCTAAAACAGACTACCTTAAAGTAATAATTTCTTGATCTGTTTATTTACAGACAGTTAAGTGTGTAGTTGTGAGCAGAGAAATTTAGTACGTACAGAAAATCGATGGAGATAAAAAAAATAAAAATGTCGTGAAGATGATATGTATTTGACTATTTTATTTTCCGAAATATTTTGTTTTCGCACCCACGAAAATCTTGAATTTACTGTTCTAGTTTAGTATATTTTTGTTGTATATGAAATATCTTTCAATCATTTGACTCCAGTTTTTAGTTTAGCAAACGAATGTGGAAATAGGTTTGATTAAGAATATTAACAAATGTTTGTCATCTAACGTATATGTATATTTATATATATGTAAGATTGTAAAAAAAAAAACAGCACTGTTATAATTAACATAAACAAAACACTACTTACAGAGCCAATACCTTCACTTGTAGAATAAATATCAACATTAATAGCTCACAAACATTTTGTGATAAGCCATTTAGCAGCAATCTAGTGTTCAGCCAAGCTTGCTGGTGTCTCCTGCACGTTTCAAGCTTCTATCTAGCTGTCTTATTGTGCGCTTTCTTCTACAACTCCCTCTAGTGATATCATGTAGAAACTAAAATTAATTTTTACTCGTCGACGATTACGATAGAACCCAACTAATTTGAGCTTAGAAAAACAAAAGCTCATTTGCCTACAGAAAGCATTTTCATGTAAATTATGAGTCAGGGCTCGACTGTAGCTTAGATGTCACTCGGATTAATCCACTTACTGTGCGCTATACTGTACACAACAAGTACGTCATTTAACAATTACTAAAACATGCGTCAGAAGGGTGCTCATTACATTTGAAAAGCTTAAATTTTGGCACAAGCACAGATATGCACTTATATACGGTTATAATGTACGTTTCTTTATATCAAATCAATGCGTATAAAGTTTGATATTAAAACGATAAATCTCTACGGGGCGGCCCGCCATGGCCAGGTAGTTAGTGCGCTCGACTCGCAATCTGAGGGTCGCAGGTTCGAATCCCCGTCACACCAAACATGCTCGCCCTTTCAGCCGTGGGGGCGTTATAAAGTGACGGTCAATCCCACTATTCATTGGTAATAGAATAGCCTTAGAGTTGGCGGTAGATGGTGATGAGTAGCTGCCTTTCCTCTAGTCCTTCACTGCTAAATTAGGGACGGCTAGCGCAGATAGCCCTCGTGGAACTTTGCGCGAAATTCAAAACAAACAAACAAAACTCTACAGAGCCGTAGGAAACCGTAAAGCCATTCAGAACATGACCTGACCACTTTTTATGGCATGTATAGCTTCAACGTGTGTATTTAAACTTGCCTCTTTTAATTCAATACATTACATTGTGTGTTATGCAGTATGTGTGGTTAAAATGGCTCAAGACACAATCTCATAGCATTAAATTTTAAAAAACTTTTGAAAAGCATGCCCCCAGAATCCCCTAGAAATGGTAAATATGGCAGTGGCCTTACCACTCCAAAATTGCTCCCTACGGCAATGCTCTAGATGTCGTGCACTATGTGAGCTTTTACTTGACTGTTTTGTAATGAAAAAGTCTGCGTGTTGTCACGAAAGGTTATTACCGTGTGCTGTGCGTTATATGTTAGGAACAAAAACCTTCTATAAAAGACAGAGTCGGGTTACGTTTGAGTCAGTGCTTCCTTTCTTTGTGTACTAGATGTCCATGATGGAAGGAGTTTCGCTAAAAGAAAGATCTAATGGGGGGATATGTGTATTTTAACCTGTATTAACTATCTCTGTTCTGAAAGTAAGATTTAACTAGTTGTGACGACGTGCATCCGTTCAGTCGGTGCTTCCTTTCTTTGTGTACTAGATGCCCATGATGGAAGGAATTTCGCTAAAAGAAAGATCTAATGGGGGGATATGTGTATTTTAAACTGTATTAACTATCTCTGTTCTGAAAGTAAGATTTAACTAGATGTGACGACGTACATCCGTTCAGTCGGTGTTCTCAAGATATTCTCTAAATAAAGAGATATGTGTATTTTAAACTGTATTAACTATCTCTGTTCTGAAAGTAAGATTTAACTAGATGTGACGACGTGCATCCGTTCAGTCGGTGTTCTCAAGATATTCTCTAAATAAAGAGATATGTGTATTTTAAACTGT